AGTGAAGGCACGTAGCCTGAGCTTACGTTCAACCGTAGTTGAACTTATTTTTATTTCTTAATGTCGAAGGCACGTAGCCTGAGTCCCAGTTCAACTCATAGTTGAACTTTGAGTGAAGGCACATAGCCTGAGCTTACGTTCAACCGTAGTTGAACTTATTTTGATTTCTTAATGTCGAAGGCACGTAGACTGAGTCCCAGTTCAACTCATAGTTGGACTTTGAGTGAAGGCACGTAGCCTGAGCTTACGTTCAACCGTAGTTGAACTTATTTTAATTTTTTAATGTCGAAGGCACGTAGTCTGAGTCCCAGTTCAACTCATAGTTGAACTTTGAGTGAAGGCACGTTGCCTGAGCTTACGTTTAACTGTAGTTGAACTTATTTTTATTTCTTAATGTCGAAGGCACGTAGCCTGAGTCCCAGTTCAACTCATAGTTGAACTTTGAGTGAAGGCACGTAGCCTGAGCTTACGTTCAACCGTAGTTGAACTTATTTTGATTTCTTAATGTCGAAGGCACGTTGCATGAGTCCCAGTTCAACTCATAGTTGAACTTTGAGTGAAGGCACGCAGCCTGAGCTTACGTTCAACCGTAGTTGAACCTATTTTGATTTCTTAATGTCGAAGGCACGTAGCCTGAGTCCCAGTTCAACTCATAGTTGAACTTTGAGTGAAGGCACGTAGCCTGAGCTTACGTTCAACCGTAGTTGAACTTATTTTGATTTCTTAATGTCGAAGGCACGTAGCCTGAGTCCCAGTTCAACTCATAGTTGAACTTTGAGTGAAGGCACGTAGCCTGAGCTTACGTTCAACCGTAGTTGAACTTATTTTGATTTCTTAATGTCGAAGGCACGTAGCCTGAGTCCCAGTTCAACTCATAGTTGAACTTTGAGTGAAGGCACGTAGCCTGAGCTTACGTTCAACCGTAGTTGAACTTATTTTGATTTCTTAATGTCGAAGGCACGTAGCCTGAGTCCCAGTTCAACTCATAGTTGAACTTTGAGTGAAGGCACGTAGCCTGAGCTTACGTTCAACCGTAGTTGAACTTATTTTGATTTCTTAATGTCGAAGGCACGTAGCCTGAGTCCCAGTTCAACTCATAGTTGAACTTTGAGTGAAGGCACGTAGCCTGAGCTTACGTTCAACCGTAGTTGAACTTATTTTGATTTCTTAATGTCGAAGGCACGTAGCCTGAGTCCCAGTTCAACTCATAGTTGAACTTTGAGTGAAGGCACGTAGCCTGAGCTTACGTTCAACCGTAGTTGAACTTATTTTGATTTCTTAATGTCGAAGGCACGTAGCCTAAGTCCCAGTTCAACTCATAGTTGAACTTTGAGTGAAGGCGCATAGCCTGAGCTTACGTTCAACCGTAGTTGAACTTATTTTGATTTCTTAATGTCGAAGGCACGTTGCATGAGTCCCAGTTCAACTCATAGTTGAACTATTTCTTCTTGCAACTGAAAGTCGAAGTTTTTACTTCTTGCTTTTGCGATGGGTGGCCTCGTCACGGATCTCGATTTGAGATGCTCTCGTGCGTCATATTCTTCTTGACAGATTTCCATGCCAGAAGGGGGACGATATTGGAGATACCTTTCGTTTTTGTCCTGTAGAGGTGGGGGATCTGCTTCTTCTTCTTCTTCTTCTTTTTGCCGATGTGGAAGTCAGCCTATGTCGAGGCTTTTTAGATTCTTTTTATCCGGCGTGTTGCTTTGGCTCGTCAGATCTAAACTGTTGCTTTGGCTCGCCAGATCTGAACTGTTGCTTTGGCTCGTCAGATCTGAGCTGTTTTCTTTCCTTTTTGGTTCAAAGATGAACTGCATGATTCTGCTATGAAATCCCCACAGACGGCGCCAAGTTGTTTAGCTAAAAAGTTATTTAATCCTTCTTAAGCACAAACAATCGTTAAATTAAGGGCCAATCATAGCAGATCGCAATTAATAACCAAAGATAAGGAAATAAACGCATAGACACAATATATAGAGGAGAACGGTAAAGATAAAGGTTTTATTATAGATATTGTCAAAGGTGGTCTGCCTCCCCATGGGGAGGTTCAGAGCCTTACAATGTGGATTCTCATTTCTAGAGAGAGAATTTTATGAAGAAGAAGAAGCAGCCCCCATTTTAGGGTTCTTTCTCTTTGTATTTATAGCTGTCAATCATGCTAGCTGTCGTTTAATGGCCATAGCCATGTCTGAGGAGACGTCCCCTTAAGGACGGATAGGCCGTGACCTTGTTGATCGAATTGGGTAGTAACCGGAGAGAGCTGTTAATTAATAACCATGCCGCATTAATAGTAAATAGCGTTTGGAGAGCAATTAATCATACTAACGATTTATAAGGTCAAATTCTGACTCATACACTTGTGCTTTGGCTAACAATGATAGATAGGAGTGATGGCCTAAGGGCCAGCATGCATGTCCCTCAATTCTTTACTTAGAAATTAGATGCAGAAGAAGTATGTTTATATAGGTTCTGCAAATTATGTACTCATATTCGGACAATAAAGGGAAGGAGATATTTTAATTAACAAAAGAAAAAAAAAATTATGATCTTTGAAACCTTTAGGGTTAGCGTATGATATACGTGTACTATTTTTGTACTTCTAAAATTTTGTCCTACTCCCAAAATAATATTTAGTTAGATAAAATTTCCTTCTTCATTGTATCATTAAAATAAGCAATTACATTGAATTATCTTTCTCAATGCAATAAGAGATCAGAGTCAAATTTTTTCAAGGACTTAAAATAGAAGTTCTTATTTCTTATTCATTCATTCAAACTATGCAATTAGAAACTTTGGGAGATTCTTTTTAGAAAATTTACGAATATAAAATATTAATATTTGTAAGCGTAGTTAGTTTTGTGAGTATGATTGAAAATTATTTTTTCCTCCAACTTTGTGTTTAAAATCAAAACGACTAATAGAAAGAAGGAAACGCCTTTCGAGTTGTTAGAAAAAAACACAATTATCAAAGTGAAAAGAATTCTATTTTTTGACTTTTAAATAAGAAAAATTATCCGATCGAGAGTTTCCGTAGATAGATAAATTTAAAAAGAAAAAAAAAAGCACCAAGTATCATGTGTTTAATATGAAAGATAGTTTTTTCGAAAAGCAAGTTTTTTTCTTACTTATTTTCTGATATTTGGATAATAGGTCCATTGGGTAAGGGGGATTATCTACAACTCAATTGGTAAACTAATCCCCAAGTTATTTTTCTTAGCTAAGTTATTTTTTTAAGATAGGGAGAATTATCTTAACAAAGTCTAAATACTATATTAGATATAAAATCAATATAATGAATGTGATACAATTACAAAACATTCATTGTAATAAATACAACTAATAACGCTAATTTATTAAACATACCATGCATGTATAACAATTCTTTAAATGTAGCATTTGCATACAATAATTTATCTTCTCTTTTTATTTCTCTTAGCTTGAATTTTTCAGATTTTGTGATTTAGTAATACAATTATTTTGTTATAATTTATCATAATCTAAAACGTTTTACTATCCATGTACAAAATAAAAATATATCATACACTTATAAATAATAATAATGCCCTCTTATTTCTTTCCTTTATCATAATTAATATCAACATAATTTATATTTATTTGTAGAATATTCTCCTTATCAATAGGATTTTGTTCTCCAAACTTCTTATCTTTGTTGTCTTTCAGGTCTTGAATATTTTGAAAAAGAATGAAGTTTTCATGCACGACCGTAGAGATGCTTTATGAAAGTGGCATAAGAGATGGACTCACAAGTTTTGAGTTTTTTTTAGAACAACCCAACATTATCTTATTTCACATATGTCACTTTTATAATTCGATATTTTAAAAGCTTAATTTTATTCTACCAAAGTAACTTCAATCGCTTTGCGATTTTCCTTTTCTTTAATGTACTTCCATATGGAGAATAGTATACTCTTTGATTATTCATTTATTTATTTTCACGTACTAATTAAATTACTAAATGATTGGTCCTTATTATCTTTTTAGGATTTGAGATTATTTTAAACAATGGTAGGAAAAAGTGTGACTGTATTATATTGAAATTTAAGTTAGCATATGACTGATATTTTAGACCATTCAATTTGAAATTTATTTTTCTATTTGCTATTTTTGCTATCGTTCGTAGCAATATTGAAATATATTTAGATTATGAGTTACATTGTTAATCATTTTCTTTCAATATTTTATAACTCGAAATATATTTTTAAAAATGTAGTTCTTTATAAGGCTTTTTGTACAAATTAATATGGGATTCACGCGCAATGCGCGTGTTGAGAAACTAGTAAATAAAAAGGAATGGAAGTATTATATTGAAAAAAATCAAATTAATATATCGAATTAATTATGTGTTGATATGTCCTGACATGTGAACCAGTAAAAAAATGACAATTAGCGAAGAATAATTGAAGAGACACGAGCTTTAAACAGGCACGGGCAAAGATCCAAGAGAATCAGAAGGAATGAGTGCTCGAACCTCTTGATAAATTGAAGAAGCATCGGAAAAATGAACCTAAATAGCAAAAGAGTGTAGATATGTATTATTGATAATTAATGAGCATTAATTACGAAAAATGTATTGAAATAGTTATGATTGTCGATTATAACGTTACATTAAATGTCATTAATTGTCAATAATGACTCCATTATGGAAGGAGAGAAACGCATTACTTAGAAATAGCTATAAAAGGTGAGGAACACACGTTTAAGGACACGAAATATTATTGGAATACACTGATTTACTTTGCTTTCTTCTACTTATATTATTATCATTAAAGTCAGTTTCTTTTATTTGTTTTATATTTGATTATCAGTAACCCGAGTTCTTCAAAAAATAAGTTTTGACCGAAATTCCTTAGAAAAATATAAAGCTTAGACCTTCTCACAAAAAGAAAATAGAAAATAAAGATAAGATGTAACATTTCTTGAATTACTTAGAGAAATTAAACACATTACAACGGAATTGAACCAAATTAATTTAGACCTTATTATATCTCACCAGCTCCGCCATAAAAGATAGTATGGTTATAACGAATCCCATTATCTGGAACATCTATTGCATTGTACAACATAGGATTGGTTGTAAATGTTGGCAGCTCACCTAAATTTATATATTCACCCTTATCATTTAAAGCTGTAATATTTCTGCAATATGCAATAACTTTAGCGTTTCTTATAAAAGCATAAAGCCCTGAACCCATAGGTGGTTCAAGTATTCCTGGTGGACTATATACGACTCCGCCCCATTCAACTCTTGTTGCATAATAGTCAAAGTCATCAAACACCTCACGAGGCCAAAAACCAATTGGTACATAATTGTTACGAGTCTCTTCAAGGAAAAGCCACCAATTCCCCTTCTTTACGTCCTACATTTTTTCAATAGAGAAAATATATGGTTAACAAAAAAAGATAGTACTAATGCTTCTGCTGAAATTTATGTTGCTCAAATCCTTCAAAAGTATGGTCGAGCGTATCGAATTCTTCAAAAATTATTCATACTCGGAAGATTTAATAATTTTATAACAACATGTTGGAAGAATCTGAGCAATATAGTATGAAATTATATATAATAGAGGCAGAAAAGTTACCCAATTTATGCGAAATCCCCAGTCAAAATGTTTCCCATTAATTTGCGATATGTGAGGAAATGGTTGACCAAAAGACAGTCGTGTGGTTATAAGTACAAAGCTCGGACATAACAAATCGAAACAGGAATTTGTACCATCCTGAAAATATGAAACATATTATATTTAATTTGCGGGACGAACAACTTATAAAATAAAATATATAGTTAATTAATAAATATTACTAATTGGAGACTTACGTCGAAATGTATGAATATCCTAGTCCTGTTATCGCCATATAAAGTAGGGTCAACCTAAGAAAAAAATGAAATAAAGATGTATTTATGTATGTTGACAGAAAAAGGCAAAAGTATAAATTCACGTAAAGTAGTTGATTTGACTTACTCTCCAACCCGTTTGTATAATACTTTTTCCTTTAATAAGTTTCAAACGACATGCACTATGTTGTTGACCTACGCTGCTAGGATTGTATATAGCAGCTATCATCGAAGCTCCTCCGAACGTGTTATTTGGATTATCTTCAGTTGTAACGATAGCCCGCTGAAGAAAATAAACAACAATGTAAATTAATTAGAAAAATCTTCACAAAGAGTTACGATCCATCACCTATTTTAAATTGTATTATTTGCTATTTATTTAACAAAGTTTATACCAAGATCATGTTAATTTTTATTTTTGGTTTCTCACCTGGAATCTGGTACCCATATTGGGGCCCGGCTAAATTTGGATTCGCGACGGAAAATCCCACATTGGGGGTAAGACGCTCCCTAATAAAAACGATTTCATACTCAGAGCTCGAACCCGAGATCTCTAGTTAAAGATGAAGAAGTTCTTACCAAGATCATCTTATTATGAAAAGGAGGATCACATTAGAGGTCTACTCAAAATCAAAATGCTAATAATAAAAAAGAGAATACAGTAAAATAAATCTACGTAACGATAATTTTGGTAAATAATATTTACCTTGTACCCTTTCAAAGGTTTAATCCTTCTATCTTTGGTATCAGTGAAGTTGTCCCTCTGTGCAAAAGTAAGATAAAATGTTATCACTTATCACTTTGAACTTTTTCACTATTCTGTTTTGTATGTTGGAATTACAACTATAATGAAAGCAATTTAAGGAACCAATACTATAAATTGAAATAACAAAATCTTACATTAGTATGTCGATCAATTGTGTTATCTTCCGATGGTGGCAAAAGTTTATGTCTAATAAGATCTTCTTTTGTGTATCGTCTAATAGGAACTGTTCCGACCGGACAGCCTCCATCTGGTAACCCTATTGTTGGCAACGTATCACTTGTTGATGCAGTTGAAGCGATCTCTTTCACATACGAAGACGGTTTCATCTGTTCATTGAAAATTCCTTTAGTCATCGTTCATTGTTCAAAAGGAGCCTTGACGCAACACTAGGTTACGGATTCAAGTCGTGAAAATAACTACTAATGCTTGCATTAGAGACAAGGGCAATTTTTATACTATATATATATATATATATAAGTAGTGTGAGGAAACTGATAAGTCGGAAAAAATTACCCCACTTGACATAAATTGTCTCTTGGTGCACCAGTTATGTGCTTGATTTTGCTCTAAAAGGTGTATAGTTAAAAATCGGAATGAATTAGAATTGAACCCATGACCTTTTCTAACTTTAAACTCAACGAACCAATAGACTATAAATATTTCTTGTCTAGAAGTATGATAATTGAAGTTATTATTTCTATATATCTACAAATTTTGACAGTGCTTATAAAAATTTCTACGTACGCCCCTGATTAGAGAAAGCTGTCTATATCACATCTCTTGGAATGTGACCCTTCCCTGAACCTTGCGTGAACGCGGGAAACCTTGTGCAACGGACTGCCTTTCACTCAGAGGCGGACCCAAGATTCGAGCATGACGGGGGCACCACTGTACATGCTAACCGCTAGTGATAAAATTCGACATGCAACTTTTTGAAACTTAATGATTATAATGACTTATCATCCAAGTATTAATAAAAATTCTATAAAAAAAATGCACTAAACCGGGGG